TGTTACATTATTAATTTAGTAGGAGGGTTTTGATCAATAACAAGCACAACAAAAAAAAATCATCCATTATCAATAAAATTTTTCTTCGGATTTGACAAATTTTTTGGCAAAAAAATTCCACCGGTAAAACAAGCATAGAAAAATAAATTCGATGGCTTTTCTTCCACTGCAAAATTTATTTTGATGGATTTTTGACAAAAAAATCTCCACTTCAAATTAAAAAATTTCCCAACAAAAAGAAAAAATTTTGATTCTGCTCGGCTACCCACGGATCCCACTGCCCACCAATAGCCAGCCCGCCTGCAGAACCCACCTTCCTTGCTCTCTTGTAACCTGCACGCTGCACGTGGAACATGTGGCCCTGCACGCGAAACCCGTTACGCAGCCCGGGCAGCCCACCGCTGCATGCAGACCCCGCTCGCCTGTGCGTGCCCGGGGATTCAAACTCTGCACTCTGGGGAGCATAAGCAACGCACATAGCACTCTGCCTGAAGAACTTTTATTACATCCAGTGAACGTACACTCATCTACGTTCGGTTTTAGATCAAAACAGCGCAATATCGAGTTTTTTGAAAAAACTCGGTACAACTCGGTACTCGGTACTCGGTATTGCGCTTTTTTTGCCTAGAACCGAACGTAGAGGAGCGTACGTTCACTGGATAAAATAAAAGTTCCTGCCTGAAACCTAAAGCTGACATTTCATAAAATATTATATTTAAATAATTATTTTAAATAAAATACTAAATTGAATAAGTAAGTCAAATAAAATATTATTTTAAATAATTAATTAAAAATATTAAATTTAACTAATAAGTAATTTCATAAAATATTATATTTAGTAAATTTTAATGATATTTTTATTAAAATAATTAATTAGTTAATTTACCTTAGGAATTGTTATTAAAACTAGTTATTTTATTTATTTTAAAATTATTTTTCGAAAATATACTAGAAACCTTCAAAATTTTGCTAGAAATTTCTTTGAAATTTTCAATCAGAAATTCGTCAGAAGTTCCGTCAGAAATTCCGGTTGAAATTTTCCACTAAAAATTCATTAGAAATTCTATCAAAAATTATGACGAAAAATTTTCGTCAAAAATTTATGCGGTAATACGAATTTTTCTAGATTTATATAGGTGAGTATCTCGTAAACCATAATGTGATTGGAATGGATCACTCATCTTACAAAGCATCGCATCTTGTCGTGCTTATCTCATGCACTTATGCACTTGGTTGTTTATTAGGTCACATACTTATGATTTTCATAAATTATGAAATTGATAGCTTAGGCTGTGTATATTATCGATAGCTTTTGTATTATATCATATTTGATTGTATGGCATTCGAGTTGGGAAGAACTTCGTAAGAAAGCTTTAAATGTAAGAAAATAACACACCTAATTCACCCTTGTACACAACCCATGCCATGGGCACTTAATGGCACTATCAAATAGCTGTGATTTTGAATTGAAAGCGGCGGTGGTGGTGGTTGGCAACCCGCCTCTATAAACCACTATCAAAATATTAAGTTTTTAATAATTTTTTAATAATGGTTAAAACTGCTATCTATACCAATATATAGCATGTGTTTTAAAACTAGTACTTGATTCAAATTGTATCAATGCAAGGTACTTAGATTTACAATCAATACCAACTCTCGAATTAGTATTAGAGCTTCTACCCATAATAATGTTTGAGTCTTTATGTTTTATAATTAAGATGCTAATAGCACTTAATTCAATCTTTTTTAGTCTTCTGGTCAATTTATTTTCATCCTTATGCTTTGTATAAAATAAAGTTTGATAGATAAAATAATTTCATGTTATTATTTATACAGAGTATTGATTATAGGATATGATATGTTGTATCATCTAGTCAACTTTCTTTGTATATTAATATTAAATTAATGAACTAAGTTCATTAGCTATAGTTTATTTTCATCATTTTTATCACAATTCACATTGAACCACCACCAAATTTACTCCCACTTATTTGTTTATGTTGATCATAAGATAGTTGAAAAAGGAAAATAGCCGTATTCATGACATTAGATATTCAAAAGAGCATATTTTCAAAGAAGAGAAGAAGAAGCAAGGGAAGAAGACCAAGGAATAATAATAATAATAATAATCAAAAGCTATGTGTGTTGTCAGATACATTCAATGCATTGTCTAATGACTTCAAAAAATTAAAAGAAAAATATAGTTAGAAAGAATCAAAGTCCTTTGGAAAACTTATGATAAATTTTTTATATAAATGAAGCACTTTTGAATGGAAGTTAAAATTCTTAAGAGCATATTACTTACCTTGTATGTAATCATCTATGTATCTAATACTAGCAATTTTCTCTCTAATTTGGATGCTTTGCATAGTTCTTATAGAAACTTAAAATCACATGCTAGAATAAATTTGAAGAAAATTAATAGAATAGTTAAATCTCTCATGCCATCCTTTGTCCATTAATATTACATGCATCAATTATGATAGAAATGATAATGCATATTATGCTTGTTCTTAATATATATATATATTATGCTTGTTCTTTTAGAAAGTCTGTTAAAGCATGATAAATATATAAATCAAGATCACTAACTGGAAAAATATTATATTCATAACCTACACAAACTTGAAATTATTTAACAACTAATATTACATGATCTAAACTTGATTAAAAAATTATCTTCTATTTTTGGATTTTTTTTTTTTTATAAGAGATTGACAAAGGCAATATAATTATGATTTAGAGTTCAAAATTATAATATGAATTATTAAATATGTATAATTCAAATAAGAAATTTGAAATCATATAGAGAGAGAGAGAGAGGATCGATCTAGTTCTATTAAAAGGAAAGATTTATTATTCCTACAAACTTTACTTTGATCATAGAGCTATAAGAAACAATATCTGTAATAATTTTAGGAAATAGTTTTCTCCAACATTCAGTTGAGTCAATGATGATTTAGTTATGCATCGTTTTTTAAAATTATGAAACAATGCAAATAGCAAATTTATTCATAAAAAATAATATTACAATATAAATGAAGGAAGATTATTATCAAAACAATCCCAGAAGAAATTGCCACTTAAAGCATATGTTGCACAAAAGTCCACAACCTTATTTCCCTTCCAAGAAATTCAATAAAAAATGATACGCTTAAAATCGTATAAAAAGATAAATCTAAAGAGGTAGAATTTGCATCATGTTGAAATTGAGAAATCAAAGATTTGTGAAAAAGTTTGATAACATTGATGTTAATCTCTTCAATCCATATGCCTTCAAATTCTATCATCCAGCCTTCTATAATTTCCTTATAAGAAAGGATAGCAAGGATTTCAAATTGAGCCACATCCCATTGAAGTAATTGCTTTCCAAATGTAGATATAAATCTTCCTTTATCATCTCTCATTACTCCTCCAAGTCCAGCATAGTTGAAAGTAAGTAAAGAAGCATCTAAATTCATTTTAATCCATTTTGGAAGAGGGGGATGTAAAAAATTGCAATTCAATTTATTGAACTGATTAGCATCCCAGTTATTCAAAATAGGATTAAATAAGATTTAATAGAAGAATATAAAACTTAACTGCAATAAAACTAAAACAGGATTTTTTAGCGATAAAGATTGAATATGCTACATCATTTCAGAAAAGGATTGAAAAAATGGAATTGGAATTCTCCAATTCTTTAAAACAAAGAGCACCTCTTTCAGTTTTTTTATAGGAAACCGAAATATGCAATTTTCTATGCTTAAGCCAACTATTAGTAGGAAGAGCGTCTCTGTTAAGCCTCCACCAGAAACAGAATTCTCTAGTTTTGTAATTTGATTTGCTTCATCCATTTCATGCCATTTATTTTAGAAAACCTATATTTTCCTTCAAAAGACATAGCATAAATAGTTTTTTCCAGAAATTTTATGAATTAACTCAATCTTATCTTCTGTTTGATTTGGAATAATTTGAATTTGCATAATAATTCTGATCAGATCTCCAAATACATCATGAATCACAGATAAATTCCATGCTCTGTTTTCAGATAATAACTTATCAACAGTTGAATCTTCAAGATTGGAAACATTAAAAAATGTTGGCCAGATGCTAATAAAATTCTTTTCATTTCCAATATTCCATCTCACAAGAGGCTTTAGATGTTTCACCATCTGGAAGGATTTTCCATGTTGCACAATTACCTTTTTGAAAGGTAGACCAAATATTGCTTCCATATTTAGCTCTAATATTATTGTTTAGAAAGGAATCTGGCTTTTTTAAGAAAACTCCAAGCTAACTTTCTAATAAGAGCCAAAGAATGAGAATTTGCTTAAGCAAAAATCAAGATATTATCTGGATATAATAATGTGAAATCCTCTCTACATTGGAAGAGATTTTAATGCAAGATTCATTTTATTTTGCTGAAAAGCTTTGGACAGAATTTCTGAACAAATAATGAATAAAAAAGGAGACAAGGGGCATCCTTGTCTGAAACTACATTCAGGCATTATCCAATCAAAAAACAGATCATGAATCGAAATAAAAAAAATCTATGGAAACAAACATTGCATTACCCAATATATAAATTTCATTGGGAAATTCATAATATGCATAGTTATGCATCAACAAATAGTACTAGATACTATAACAAACAAAATCTAAAATGTTGACTTTTATCATACTAGATACTACCATTTCTTAACTAATCAAGAAATACAAGTGCCAAAAAACACACCATCATATTAGTGGAAGGAATTATGAAAAGAAAAACATAGAAGAGGTTTGTCCCAATGATAACCGCTAAATCACAATTAGCATCACCATCTACACGCAGCTAGCTCTTCAAAATCCAATCCGAGCCGCTTGGGGTGAGATTAGAGGCCTTACGGCTGTGGCATTTGATATCCATCTGGCCATTGCAGTAAATGAAAAACAAAAAAAAATAAATGGGTCCTTACACCAATTTCAAATGCTGTAAGTGAAGAGAGAACGAAAATTGAGAGAAAAACAAAGAAAGATGAGAGAACAGAAAAAAAAAGGGTGAAATTCAACTTCAGCAACTAGTTCTTAATCAAAGAGAGTAAGCATTCTATCATTGTGCCAAAATCACCAAAATGTTAAAATTAAGTTTCTATGACCATCTCTATACAGTTAAATAGGAAGGAGAGCGATTAATATCATTTCCCGCAGAAACACCAAAAGAACCATTTAAGCATTGAATTTTCATCACAGGTGCCCTCATTTCTTTGCGGCAGGTACAGGCAGAAGCTTACTAAGAACATAGCAATCTGGTGGGCTAATGTTTGTGTAGTAATTCTCTATCGTCTCTGTGATCTCAAAACCAAATTTCTTATAGAAGGAAATGGCTTCATCATTGTTTGTTTGTACATGCAAATAGATCTCAGAAATATTCTGCTTAGCGGAGAAATCCAACACATGATTTAACAGCTTCGTACCTGCAGAAAGTCTTGTCAGAGTAGACATTTGGTAGAAAACCAGCCATTAGAAAAAAGGGCAATTTTTAAGGTTAAGCATGATTAGAATGTAATTAGCAGATTAAGCATGAATTTAAAAAAAAATTAAACCAAGCATAATCTACCATTTAATGGGCGATTACCTATTTTTACACAAATCGCAAATCGCCCATCTAACGGGCAATTTTTTAAACAGCCCAAAATCGCCCATTAAATGAGCGATTTTGGTCTGAAATTTTTGGACTATGCATCATTAAGATTTTAATTAGGTGATTAAGCATTGCAAAAAAAAAAGGTAGGCATAATCGCTCGTTAAATAGGCGATTAGTTATGATCGAGTAAATCACCCGTTAAACGAGCAATTTAGCTTGACCAAAATTTTTTAAAAAAATCATTTTAGATTCTTTATGTCATTTAATTTTAATTAGTAATTTATGCATGTTTTAAAAAAAAATTGAAAAATACGCATTGATAAAATAATGTTAGGCTTATTTTTAAGAAAATACTGCTTTAATTCAGGGGCTTGTATTTGCAAAGGGCAAATTATTCAAAGGAGCGTATTGTTTCAGAAAGGCACGTATTCAAACCCAGTGGTATGTCTTTTGAACATATGCATATACTGATTGTGGATATTGGAACCCAATTTTCAAAAATATCATTAAGAGCATATAATCCTTATAATTTTAGAATCATTATGCAATAACAATTCATTTAGCTTGCAATGACACATCACATCAGACGACCTATAAAGTTGCCTGATCAATTTAAATCCTATTGTAATTTTCGGCTGCAAGTGATGGTTGAATATCTTTACTCTCAGCTATTTAAAGGGTGCATGGTAAACACATTGAGTATATTTCTTAAGTTTTTGTATGAGTTATTCATAATATTTTGGCTATGTATGAAGAAGCTTAAAAACGTCCCCAACAAAAAAAAAGTTCGATGATGCAAGCCGATGAATGCATACTTATATAGCACAAGCTAGTGACACTCCCTTAAAGTAGAAGGATAATCAAAATGAGAATTTAGGTGTTGTGTACATGAATGGTCAGAAGACGAGGATTCTAGAATATGCACAACGAGTTAATTAGGGTAAAATTTTACAAGACAAGAGATTTCTTAATGTCGTCAGTTGAAAATCTTTTCAAATTAAGTTCCGGGAAGAGAATGTTCACCTTGTCAGCCCTTATTTCTTATAGATGCGCTACTATGAGATAAAATGCCACATAGATACTGAACATTCCTCAGCAGATATTAATTGTAGCCACCTTGACATTAAACATATAATTTTATATCATGATTGGTGTTCGCATTTTGATAATTTCATTATAAATTTCTATAAAGAGCGGATGAATAAGGTATTACCTGATAGTAAGTCAAGAGAGTCTTCAATGCTGAGGACTGGTAGCAAGTTCTATCAGAAATATTATCCAACTCAAACACAGCTACACTCACGTTTATATATGTTGATTAGTAATTAGGAAAGTTATATCCTCCTATCCTCTTCTAAATGTTATGTACGTCAACTTATTCTATGTTTTTAACATCTTATTTTTTTTATTTAGTAGGAAGTGTGTCTATGTGTTTTTCTTTGTTACGTAATCCGTTTCCTATGTATCTAGATTAAAAAAAATCTATGCTTGATAAGTATTTATGTTTATTTAGCTTTAGTTCTCCTACATATTAGTTTGCATTACTTGTACTTTTAATTATGTGAATTAAAATGTGACATAAAAAGAATTCCTTACAAAATATTAGAAATGATCTTTCTTTATTAGATTGAAACAAGAATAATGATTCGTGTTAACAACTTCACTTAGTGGGACAAATGTTTGATGTTATAGTTGTTGAATTAAAATGTAACATTATATTTATGATTGAATTAATTAAGAAATTTATAATAATTCATATAAATTTTATAAGTTAATTAAATCTTAAACTTTAAATAGTTTATATTATCAAAATTATTACATACTGCTAAATAAACAAAGTGTTGTCCCATCAATATGTTTTGTTAAATCAACTTGTAATCTAAAAATTGGTATTGTAACGTCATTATGTATTGTTACATCATTCAGAGTTGTCAAATCAATATATTATTAAATCACTTCGTATTGTTAAATATGTCAGTTCTGTCAAACTAAATTATTCATTTATCTCTTGGCTATAAATTATAATTAATGTAATCTACTTCAATGCTCTTATAAATTGAGCACATCTTTCTTGTGTGGATGAATGTAATAAGTATCCTCCATTCTCCACTTTCCCTGCAAATATTCTTCTACAATGTATATGACACAAAATCCCTTCAAAATAACTGATTAAGGAGGGCAGCACCCGATTGAAGGAATGCTTAGCATATTTCACTGATGAGGGGTTAGAAGAGATGTCAAGAGCAAATAATATTTAGCGATATTGTATGCATTTCTGGTCATATATGAAAGACTGGTTATTATAGCACGCTCACACCGAAGCTATGGATCTTTCCGATCACAAAGATGGCGCCGATTTGATTGATGCGGGTTGGACATTTTTGCAAAAGAGGTTTTTAAAATTGGGCGAACATCTAACGCCTATTAACATTTTGAAGGCTAGATATATTGAAATTGGCATCGTGAAGATGGGTAGTTTAATATAACTGTTAAAAATCCAACGCCTGATATAACTCACTACAACCTTTACAAGAAATGATATCCCACGACTGATGCATTCCTCATTGAAACATATAAGAACTTGATTGCAATTTCATGCAGAATAAAAAAAGAAGTTTCTAAGTGCATCGGACTAGCAATACATCCATCTTTGATTCAATAACAGATTCAGTTGCTGCCCTACTCAAACCCAAATTCAAGCTCACATGCAAAGGTTGGTGAGCAATATTTGAAGGCATGCTTATCTTATTTTTAACTGTCTTATGTGTTTTAGTTTAGTGCATACCTGTTAACGGCGAATGGCGCACCATGGAGCAAAGGTCCTTTGGAGCCATGGCGCATAGCGCACGGCGCGGCGGGCGTCATTTTGAACATGGCGCAAACTATATAAGAATTATAAAATAATAAGCATGAATATGAAATAATATTGTCCAACATGACGCAAACTTTGCATTTCACAACAATATTGTCCAAGAGACAAGAATTCACATTTAAAGTCCTCACCCCTTCCTCCTCTCTTATAGAGTCCAATGTCTCACAATCAAAGCATGCACTCATGAAGAAAACTTATACAAAGCATGCACTCATGAAGAAAACTTAGACAATGTATGCACTCATGAAGAAGCAGAGTAACACTAACAACTATTACTAAAGAAGATGAATACAACAATATGCCGGGCTGCCTGGGGTCCAAGAGGGCGCTGCCCCCTGGCGGGGTTCGACCTGCCAAGAAAGATACCTAGCGATACCGAGCATGTACATAGCGGTATCGAGCATGTACCTAGCGGTACTGAGCATGTACCTAGCAGTATCGAACATTTTTTAAAAAAATTTTAAGATGTGGACGTCACATTTAAACAATTTGGCGCTATTTTGCGTCGTCCTCCATGCATCATGGCTCATATGTGGCACAAATAGCGCGAGTTATTTTAAACACATGCGCCTCGCCATGAACATGGCACCGTTAGTGCGCTGCGCCATGCGCCATGGCGCACGCTATTTTGCGTCATTGACAACTATGGTTTAGTGATTTTCAAGTGTTGTTTGAGTGTTGTATGATCGTGCATACTGTGATATATTGTACTTAATGTTCATTTCTGTTGTTGGATGAGTATGTTCGTGTTATATTAAGTGTACTTTTTAAGAAGAGTTAATATTTTTTTATGTTGTTTGATGGGAATGTTCGCCTTTCAATTTAACTCGCAATTTATCTAGTTAATTTAAATTAAGTTAAAATGACATTTAATAAGGGAAGTGAATACTATATTAGCTCAAAGAAATAAAACTCATATTCATTGATCACTGAATATATCAACATATACAAAAGTCTATGTCATATAGAATACAAACATAACATCAACTAATGCCTCCTACGTCCTCTGTGGGGCAATGCATTACTACATGGTATGTAATGCTGTGATAGATATACAGGCTTAGCACATAACAAATGCTGCTCGACCCCAATAATGCCTTGCTGCTCCACCCCAATTGTGTCTGCTTCTACAACAGTCGCTGATGTAGTGTCTGGAACATACTCAGGTGGGAGCCAAGTTGGTGTAGACTGCTAAGTCGGCTGAGTAAAGAAATCCTGATCAATTTCCAAATCTTCATACGATGATAGTCCTGCATCTATAGAATGGGGGATCCGCTGTCACTAAAGTGAATGTGTCGCATGAATACCCTGTATATTTATGCTCTGAGTAATGCTTATCAAAAATATTAACCTCTCTACACATATCCACTATATCACCTCCATAATTCTCTCAATAATACTTCTAATATTGTTGTAGTCATCAGAAGTCACTAAAGGTAGCACTGCTCTCTCTGTATCCAAGAAGAAATTACGCTGAAGGAAAAAACTTAAACGATTAGGAGAAAATTCTTCCATAATGAAATGTATAACACACATATATTACTAACTAGATATCACTTTGTAGGTGATCTGGGTAGTATATAGTCGGTGGTGTTTATGGTGGCTTCAACATGTACAATGTTGCCCAGGACCTAAACCACTGCAGGCATTGCTGAAAGAAATGCTCAGTATCTACTCCAAAAGTCATTCCTTCAATAATGTATGCTCGTCTATCCTCACACAATCCAACGTAAGGTAGGTGGTACACCATCCAATTGTATCAGTTTTACCAAGCCCATCTACTCGCGCAAATTTGGGCTCCATAGGTTGAACCTTAGTAATAGGAATAAATCTGAGCTGTCGAACAACTCTATCTGGCAAGTGCCACTCCACATGAGTCTAACTAACAAGAGACACACGAGCTAACCATATTGCTTCTCTTGATAAGCATATATCAGCAACTTGAGAGCGAACTTCTG